TGAACTGCCCAGGTACCGACATTACGGATGCGGTATCTCCTTATGATAGTGAGAGTGGGGCGCACTCAGGAATGACAAGTAATTCAAGCGCTTCGCTAGTCGCGAGTTGAGGCTTTGCCCGCAAACGTTGCCCATCGATGTCTCTTATTCTCAGACTGATTATGTTTTCCCTCTGTTCCCGCAAGCTCTTGGTACTATCAAAACTAAAACATTGAGCAGCTCAGTGTCAGCACGGTGCTGTTGCTACCGGGCTGCTCGGGTGCTCGTCCACTGAGCGGCGGGGGCGCTGATTCAGCATTAAGGTGAAGGAATTTGACACAACTTGCCTCCGGCTCATAGGAGGGACTGGGCTGCTGCTAGTGCTGTTTGAGTTCTTCTACACCCTAGAATCTGTTTTATGCGATGCGCTTATACCGCAAACAACAGTACGAGTCTAGCAGCTGTACTTGGCAGCAGGGCTTCGGGTGTGGGCTTAAGCGAGGACGCCCAGAGGACCTTAAGGGAGAGCCAACCCCTGTAGTAACCGTTATAGTAGCCCTTACAGCATCATAGCAACGATTATGGTAAGCATTACAGTAACCACTTTAGCACTATAGCTATGATGACCACTTATAGTATAGCACTTTAGCTATGATGACCATTTATAGTATCCACCATCGACGCCCTGAAAGACCCGGCGGATGATCTGCTTGGCAGCGGAGCGGTGTCTCAAGAAAGGCGCTTTCAGAGCTCGGTTCCCCAGGCTGACATGCCCTGCGACTCCGGTTTAGGGTTTTTAGGGTTTAGGGGTTTCGGGGTTTAGGGGTTTCGGGGTTTAGGGTTTAGGGTTTTAGGGTTGTAGGGTTTATAGGGTTTAGGGAAGTTTAGGGTTTGGGGGATTAGGGCTTTAGGGGGTTAGGGTTTAGGGGTTGCTTGAAGCTTGCGTGTATTCTTGTTGCCGCTAAAGCAACGTCCTTCATTTTCTGTCAGATCACCTGGATGTTATGAAGCTTGGAGTGCAGGCATTTTGGGGGACAGCTTGAATCTCAGACTCGTTTAACACGTAGATTGGGAAAGGTCTGGCGTTGGCGCTTGTTTGCATCACAAGCACAGCGGGAGCAATAAAAGGTAGTATGTCATAGTTATATATAGTATATGACGACTCAGAACCCCACGTGCGAAGTTGTAGGTGTAGGGTTTAGGGGTAGTTATTCCGGCATGTCTGTCAAGCGACCCAATCTAGACCTTTCCCAGAGTGCTGGACCGCAAGTGTCCGGATTGTAAAGGCAGGGTGAAGTTTTCCTTCCGCTTTTTTTTAAGAACATCCCTGTTCCCCGTTCGGGGGTATAGGGTAGCTGGGAGTCACGCACCTTGGGAGTCTGGGATGTCACACGTTTTCAGGTTTGTTTTCTGCACCTTCCCGGTTTGGGAGGTTCGGCTTCGGGGTCAGTCGGGCCTCATGACCTCCGGGCAATAGGCTCCTTCAAGCGTTGGTTGTGAGTGTCCTCAGCTTGCAAGAAATGTGCACAGCCCCGCCGGCTCGTTTCCAAAAAGCTTTATATTTCCACTTGGAGTTGGTAAGTCAGCCTTTATTGCTTGTGTGCACGAGCGGGCTTGCTCCTTGGGGTGGCAAAGCATCCCATTGCGATGAGTTCCTGTTTTCCAGATGCGCCGGCAGGGTGTTTTGACGTCCCGGCTTGTCGAGATTGTTATCAGAGCGTTTCTCCTAATTAGCTTTATCAATCTAAGATGTTTGCACTGGTTCGCTAGTCTAACGACATTTTGAAAGTATTCCGAAGCAAGAACCATACAACTTCAATCCTAATCACATGTCAGCGTTTCCTGATGAGCAGTGGTGTACATAGGCGCGTGCTGCAAGCATCATATCACAAGGTGCAGGACCATGAACCTATTGTGTGAGCATGCGCTGGCGACACGTGGAATGCAACAGTTAATTGCAAGATCCGATGATACCTTAAAGTAGACTAGCTAGAGCATACAATGTCAAAGGCACAGTCGCCTCGATCCGAAGCAACACGCCCTAGATCCGAAAACACAAAGGCCTCGACTAAATTGCGCGGTAGCTGCGATCCTTCTAAGTTCTCTGTTCCAAGAGCATCCAGTGGAACAGCTGAGACATGTTCGGCGTGGCAAAGTTGGGACGTCGCGTCGGCATCAGCTGTAACTGTGTTGATAAAGATCATCCCAGAGACTCCGATGGGTCTATATAGGGTTATTATCTACAGGGTTCAGGGTTTAGGGTATATCCTCCTCCCTATATTAGGGTTTCTGAACTTTTGCATCAGAAAGTATCACACATGTTGGTACCCCCTGTGCTGTATGTAGCCCCTGTATGTTAATACCAGAGTATACCCCCGAAAACCCTGCACCAGCTGTCAAGGCCACGAAGTCTATAGCAGTCTATGTTTGTCGCAGGCACACATCTAGCCTACATCTACATGTATACATCCGCCTAAACCCTTAACCCTAATCACTTTCCTTCCTCGTCGCCCTTCATTCTAGGACTCCACAGGGGACCCCTTCAAGATGCAGCGGAGCCTCTGGGAACAAGGGGGTGTCGATCGTCGTTTTCCCCCCTGTGTGCCCTCAAACTGCCGATGTAGCAGTTTAGGGTTTAGGGGTTAGGGGGCGACAGTAACCTGTGGTGTTGTAGGGCTTTAGTTCCAAGCTTAGCTTCTTAGCCGTTTGAATTGAGCGTCAGCTTCACGGTTTTGCATAATGCGTCTTCGTTTGCTGAATCGGCAGTATTTGGGCCCTCGACGAAAGCACCTTCGGCAGGTTCATGCTGCTCCAGTTCCCAGCCGGGCATGCCAACTTTTTCGGTAACAAAAGCGCACCGAAATCACATCCATGAGCCGACAACCTAAACCTGCACCCTAAAACCTAAACTCCAAGCCTCTAACGACTTCCTATAAAAGGTATGTACATGTATGTATATATATATATATATGAAACCCTAAACCCTGAACCAGCTGCAAAGACCCTCAGGCTTGTACATTGGCTCTCCCTCAGGAGCTGCAGCATTCAGGGTTTACTCAACCCCCAAGCCCCCAGAAGCCCTATACGAGCCCTGAAGAACCGTCCTAACCCTCAATCGCCAGAACCCGAAACTGTGCTGTAAAGCGCAAGCAAAGCTTTGTGATCGGCTGCTTTCGGAGCCTGAGTTCTGTAAGCTTAGGAGCAGAGAGTGAAGTTACATGACATTCCGAAAAGACTCTCACAGGCTTTAGATCCGCGGCTTAGTATTTATAGAGGCTAGAGAGTTAAGGTTTCGGGCCTCAGGGGTTTAGTCACGTCATGCGAACTGGGAAGATGTGAAATCATGTTGGACGCTCTTGCTGCGGTTTGCCAGCCCAAAGGGGGAAAGCTTTCCCCTACCACTAGCAATCATCTCAAGCACCTGGCTACATCCCAGCATATCCCAGCCACTACTCGAACTATACCAGTCACTACTCATTCCGCAGACCTACCAGCCGTGGCGATTTGCGCCCACAACGCAGTCTACAGATGTCTGACCGTGCTTCTCCAATTATAGAAACCTGTGATCAACACTATGAAGCCATATACCTACGAGCTGGATCACGACAGTAACTGACGTGAGTGTAGCAGCCGAACATCCTCCCTGCAACTGCCGCTTTCCGGTCACATGGGCGATCGACCTGTGGGAAGGTCACATGACTGATGTTCGTGTTGGATTCCTGTGTCCATCGTGATTTAAGGACACTGCCTGTCACTAGCTGGCCCCGGATGCCTTTACCAAGCCTGAAACTCTCTGATGAACTGTAAGTCCTGAACTGTAACACAGGGAACCCTGAGCAAGTTGCCTTCCATCCTATGCCTTCAACGTCTGCCCCTGCCCTCTGTATAGCTCTGAGTTTCTGAATCCGACACCTCTGTCAAAACCTCTCACTTGCGGTTTAGGGTTTAGGGTCTATTGCAGCCTTGTCCCTCTCAAGACGCCTCACTCAAAGCAACCCCAAACCTCATAATCCCAACGCCTGAAACCTGAAAACCCTCAAGACCCAAACCGTACAAAGCCCTTGCGTCGCCAACCCTCGTCCTTGAAACCCTCATCCCGGTACCTGAACCTGAACCCCCAAAGTAGGTAGAGTAATAGCCTTTTTAGACGTATTTTACCTACTTTGGGGGGTTCAGGAAACCTCTAAACAGCCAGAGCCCCAAAACCCAGAATCCTCTGCCCCAGAAGCCTTTGCCCCTAGACCCTAAAAGCCCTGTGAGCTTAGGTCCACTAAGCCGCGAGATGATTCCAAGCGAGCTGCCTGGATGCTTTGGGATCCCACTGGGCTGCAGCCTCAGGATACCATGGGCATGAAGCAGGGAGTTGTGTTACCATTCTCTAGTTTCGGGCAGCTGGTAGGTGCTCCTGGGAGTTTGTGGTGTCTTTTGTGGGAGTTCAAAGGGTTTATGGCGGCTGACAAGGGTGGGGGGGGGGGGGACGTGCGGTTTCGAAAATTCACAAGCCATCTAAGCCCGGAGAGCTACCTGGAGTTTCCGCCGCACCTTGGAAGATCGCAATCGCAAGGTTAAAAGTGGGCATCTGATGTATGGACTTGTGCGGAGATCTTTTGTGTTAAGAGCGTGTACCTGTATCAGCCGTGTGCCCGAAGTTTTTCCGTCACGAGTCACTGTATAGGAACCGATTATCAGTACCCCCCCTCCCTTCATCGTAACCCGAGTCCACAGTTTGTAAAGGTCCAGGCATATGCCGGTTCGGCGTATGGGTTTGGAATTACACAGCTCGTGCCGGGTTGTGTTGGGTTTAGTTTGTGCCGGCAGCAATAGCCTGATGCGACAGATTTTTCTCTCCCCTCCCCACTCACAGGGCAACGAGAAATGTCCGTTCGGGGCCCTCCGAAGTATCAAAGACCTGAGCCAACGTCCAAGCTAGCCCGCTGAGTCCCGTGATCTCATGTTGCAGCCATTTTGACAGACTGCAGCTGACCCGAAAAGTGGTAGCTCCGATGACGCAAGGGCACGTAATGGACAAGGCGCCGCTGTCTCCCTCGCGACTCTCGAGGCACGTCTACAGCAGGGCCCAAGCCCCACGCCCTAAATCCTGAAGGTCGCAGGAGAGAAGAGCGGGACGCTGTTCTTTTGCGCGTTCAGATCCTGTTTCGGCGTCTCTTACAGCCGGTACTCTAGAGTCCAACATACCCTAAACCCCAAACCTTAAACCCTACATCCTAAACCCTACTGTAATTATTATCATTAAACCCTAAACCCTAAACCCTACATCCTAAACCCCAATTATAACTTAAACCCTAATTACAAACGCCAAACCCTACATCCTAAACCCTAATTGTAATAAAAACCCAAAACCGTAAACCCTACATCCTAAACCCTAATTACCCTACGTAATTATGATATAAACCCAAAACCCTACATCCTAAACCCTAATCACCCTAATTATGATATAAACCCTAAAAAAAACCCTAAACCCTAATGACCCTAATTATAATACAAGCCCTAAAGAAAGCCGATCATAATATAAACCCAAAACCCTACATCCTAATCCCTAACTACCCTAATGATAATACAAACCCTAAAAAACCCTAATGACCCTAAAAATATGATTTAAACCCTAAATAACACAAACCCTAAAAACCCTAAATAACACAAACCCGAAAAAAAAACGATGCCCCAAACTTCGGGGGCGGAGGCAGTCGACCTCCACAAGGCGAGTGAAAGAGAGCCCCAGCCATCATTTTTGGGGGCCCGAAAAAAGGGGATTTTAGCGTTTTTTGTAGGGTTTTAGGGTTTAGAGCTTAGGGCTTAGGGTTTAGGGTTTTGTAGGGTTTAGGGTTTTGTAGGGTTTTAGGCTTTAGGATTTAGTTTGAGTATATAAGATTTACTATAAGGATCTATGCCACAATGTAGAGGCCTTAGTAATGAGGGATTTAATTTGAGTTGCTACAATAAGGAAACCATAAATTTTGGGCCCTAAAAGGGATTTAATTCGAGTTGCTGTAATAAGGCTCTTGTCAAGGGATTTAATTTAAGTTGCTATAATACGAGGGCCATTTTTGTAGGGGCCTTAACAATTGGAATAGGGTGTTGGGGGTTTAGGGTTTCGGGTTTAGGGTTTAGGGTCACAAGTAGAATAGGGTTTTGGTGGGTTCCTTTAAAGCCAGTTTTATTTGTTTTTGTTTTTGGGAGGGGTGGGGGTCCTGAATATACTTATATAGTATAATATTATATACCCCCAAACCCTATTCTAGCCCGTATAGTTTGTTGGTTGCAATGTGTAAAACCCCAAAGTTTCGGTTACCTCAATAATGGGTTACTTGGGGTATAGACAGAGTTGTTTTTCCTTACTTCTTATTGGGCCCTGCATTAATGGGTCTAGGGCCCCAAGAATACATAGGGAAGCATGTGATCTAGGTGTCTTGATACAGGCAAGAGCAGCTGAATCAGCTGAAACATGCTTTCAGGCTCGCGGTTTTCGATCGTGTTTCGGACATCGGGAGAAGGCCTGTGGACAATATGCTTCCGACTGTGACATATACCTTCACTACAGCACGATATGCCATAATATACCCGGATGCCTGAATCTACCGGCAAGTCCCGATAGACTCAGCCCTGTGCTAACCCGATCTCCTGAGCCAGCCTTGAACACCCAATGTAAGTCTCATGCTCTACAAGGCCCACAGCTTCTGCAAGGCTTTCGCCCCCTAATTCTGAAGTTTCAGATTTTAGAAGGCCGTTTTGCGGACGCCCTACCACCCATTATTCTATATGTTGCATGATACAAGGCACAATGACCTTGTATGCTACGCATAGGACGGGCTTAAGCATGAGCTCATCGAGCACCGCTGAAGCCACGAGTCTTGCGCCAAGGAAAGCCGCGGCCATCCGCAAGAGTTTCCAACGGCCGAAATTGTGGGTCACAGGTCCGGGTTTTGATGTTCAGGGCTCGGGGCCCTAAGGCTAATATCAGTGTGGTAGGGTTTGCAATGTGTCAGGGCTTGTCTGTGAAGAGTTTCGCATACGGACTTTGGCTTTACAGTTTAAGGGTTTCAGGAGCCTCAGACCTCAAATTCCTGATCCCTTGCATGCTAAGCCGTTAAGCCGTTAAGCAAAGTCGCAGTGTCTGGCTCCTCTCATGCCGTGTTTTTCAATCAGCATTAAATAATATGGGAGCTTGAATGACAAAGCGAAGACACTCTTTTTCAGGGCTCCTGAGCAGTTCGACTATAAAATAACCCCCAATTAAGAGCCTGATCCTTCGGCTTCCGCAAGTCTGCCAGAGGCTTTGGCTGGTGCCTGGCATCCTGTGCGGGGGCTGCCACTGGGTTTTGGAGTACCATACTTGAATACTTTTTTGTATTGGACCTGTTCCTTAAATGCAGCAATATGAAATAAAAGCCTAGACCTTTTCTCCCTGGCTTCTTCAAAGTCCAGTTATTATTAATACATAGAAAAAATATATCGCTATTGATATATGAATGACGGTGATTGCATTGAGGCCAACATCATTGCCTTCAAGTGCTTTGGACACTACGCCTCTCATGTGACTGGCAGTACTTCCGCCATGGCCTTTCGCCTTGAAGGCCTTGCTTTTTTAGCTGACTTTGTAGACTCCACACTTGTCCCAAAGGGTCCAAGTAATAGCATAGTATATACTTTTGGGGCCCAAATACTCCACACTTGTCCCAAAGGGTCCAAGTAATAGTATAGTATATACTTTTGGGGCCCAAATACCTGCTAAGTAGCTACTAGAATGGTACTTGGACCCTTTGGGACTTGTTGGGGATAAGAATATCCCTTAGAAAACTCAGAGTTTACACTTCTTGGGGCATCTGCATTAACCCTAAACCGTAAGCCCCTGAAGGCTATCATCAAGGCGAGTATGGTTCCGAGTCCCTGAAAGAGGCGTGCTCACTGGTCTTGTGCTTCCTGGCGGGTGCATATACCTGTGGAATCTTGATTGACAAGAACCAGGTGCACTTTCTTGGGAAGGCTTTCTATGGGATGGCACTGGTGCTGAATTCTGCTTTGCTGGTTTTGGCAGCTTTCGTCCCTGGCGTACTGGTGCCGACCTGCTTCGTAGCTGCTGCTTGCGGCTTACAAAATGCAATGTGCACATCTCACTTCGGCGCCATCATCCGCACCACTCACGTGACAGGCACGGTGCAAACGTGGCATAAACCTTGAACCCTCAACCTTTCTTGTTTCGTGCTGCGGTGCAAAGACTGTGCTCCCCGTCCCAAATTCTCCGCCCAAGCTTGACTCCTAAACCCAAAACCCCAAACCCCCAACCCCGAAAACCTAAACCCTAAACCCCAAACCCTAAACCCCAAACCCTAAACCCCAAACCCCAAACCCTAAACCCCAAAAAAAACCCCAAACCCTAAACCCTATTCCCCTTTATGCCCCCAGGGAGAACCTCCGAGCAGGCACGGTGACGGACATCGGATCTACCATGGGCCGCATCAGCATGATCTGGCTACGAAGGTTGGGTTTAGGGTTTAGGGTTTGGGGTTTAGGGCATGGGGTTTAGGGCTTAGGGTTTAGGGTTTAGGGCTGGCTACGATTACGAAGGTTGGGTTTAGGGTTTAGGGCTGGCTACGATTACGAAGGTTGGGTTTAGGGTTTAGGGTTCAGGGTTTAGACGAAGGTTGGGCCGCCTACTCAATTCGCGAGTACAGGTGTTTCAGCAGTCAGCAGTTGAGTGTTACCCAGAGAACCCAATACCCCCTAACTTGATTAAGGAATATACCTTAAATTATAGAGGCATTACTGTTATGATTTAAGGTATATTCCTTAATTAAAGGGCATTGTGGCTGTCTGGGTACGGGCTCAGGACCCTTGAGGACGTAGAATTCAGTTTTGGGAGCAAGTGAGCAAGCCAGGCCACATCCACACATAGCCTGTGTCGAACATGGGCATAGTTGTGGTTAAGGTCTATCAGCCAAGGGTCCATTTCGGGGCTTACGATGGGTTTCGGGCTAACCCACAAACTTAGAGCACTTCGTACTAGTGGTTCAGCCCATTCGTCGTCCAGAGCCCCTCACAAGGCTGCACGGCAAAATGCATGTGTTCCATCCCCGCCTCTGCCCAGGGCAATCAACCGCACTGCGCTCAACGATATCGATCGTGCGGAGATTGCGGTGGATACTCAGAAGCCCGGCTTCGACAATGAAGCCTCAACTTTGCCACGACATTCCGGCTTTCGGGGAATATGGGGTTCAGGGAGCGAGGTCTTCACGGTTTCAGGGAGAAGGGTCTGTCGCCAGTCGGGGGACAAGTCTCAGAGTTTGCGGTTTAGGGTCTTGGGGAGTGCAGTTTCCACGGCTTTGTAGGGTTGAGGTTTCTGGGTTTTGGCTAGGCAGTAATAGTAGCGAGACTCCAACGGACAGAATCAAGGCGTTCTGGTTTGCCGAGCATGCTCAGAAGCCCTGTGCTCATAAAGCCCGACAATCTCTTGAATTCATCTGCCAATGCCCAATTGGGCAACCCCTGAAGGCCCTAAACCCTGAGCCCC